TGACGTGGATCTTAAATATATAAGCAATTAAACAACATCTTACATTTCTTTTCACACAATACGTCTCCTTGCAGTATCAACACTAATTCGGCTGACTTTTATATTTGATCCAATTGGTAGATAGGCTGTATTTACGCCATAACGGTGCACAGCTGATAGAAAGGGACACCTACTGGTTAAAGCACGTTATTGCATTTTATAATTTTATTATTAGATATTAATAGGATCCCTATAAAGTATATTCTTTACTCGTCGTTATTCTCTACTAATAGTTAATTAAAGACTGTATTTAATGACTTTTTTGCACATCCCATTCAAGATTTCAAGATTTTCTAAGGTTTATTGACATTAAAGACTGTATATAATGACTATTTTGCACATCCCTTTCAAGATTTCAAGATTTTCTAAGGTTTATTGACATATCATATTATACACAACTACGGTGTAGTTATGCAATGAATGAAAAACTTGGGTCACAGGTTCCTCAACAGTGCATTACAAGACATCTATCAATATGTGTGTACCTCCACCATTACATTGTCATATTCTGCACATTTCTTATACTATCCACATACATCTTAAGAGTATAATGTATACATATGTATAATATCAGTTAAAATAAGTGCTTAAACATAGTTAACATGGCAGGAAAGCAATATATTAGACGTTAAGTACTTTGTCAGGCTTAATATTTATCTGTAGATACAAATTTCACTGTGTGTGCTGTGTGCTCTGCATGTGTGACCATCAAAGAGGGTTTCATCCCTCCATATTCATCTTCTATACCCCCAAAGCTTTTTTCTTATTCAAAAGAAGACCTTAACCTAAAGTATTCTTTAATGTTTAAATAAAGCCTTATTTGTTTGTCTGTTTTGCACATCCTCCTGTTAATATCTAATAATAAAATTATAAAATGCAATAACGTGCTTTAACCAGTAGGTGTCCCTTTCTATCAGCTGTGCACCGTTATGGTGTAAATACAGCCTATCTACCAATTGGATCAAATATAAAAGTCAGCCGAATTAGTGTTGATACTGCAAGGAGACGTATTGTGTGAAAAGAAATGTAAGATGTTGTTTAATTGCTTATATATTTAAGATCCACGTCAAGTTTTCAGTTTTGGCGGCAGTTCCTGTTTGTCTAGAAGTCTTGTCATCAGGGCAGAGTTAACTACGGCAGATATGTCATATTTAATGCAGCCGAAACGTGTATTACAATGCCGTTATGTGATGACTTTCAAAGAGAAAAGCAAGCACACTCGAAATAATGTATTATTTAATTGTTTTATACAGTCTATGGTTGCTACAGAGGATTGTGGGTAATGTAATGTCTTCGGCCATCCAAAACTCATAGAAAACGACTTGTTTCTCAGAATTGAAGGGGAAAACGTGACAAAAGCATTGTACACACACTAAAACCTATCAATGTCGTTTAATTAACAAGGATAATCTGGTGTTTTTGAGTTGATGAGTAGTGGAGATATCACTGTCAAATCAATCGACAGTAAGGGGAATACTTACTTCCGGGTGTACAATTCTCCATTATCCAATGGGAATGGACGCTCACATTGCCTTTAACAGCCTCCGACACAAACGAATGCCGTGCTTCCCTAAGCGTCAAATACCGACGCCGATGGGAATACATTGCAATCAGTTGAAAGCTCTTTGCGTCCGTTTATGAAGCTGAAGGAGCCTCGGCGCGTCACACCTGGACGCCACGGGACCCTGACCAAGCGTCGCTCCTGGACGCTTAGGGAGTGAGAGTGTGTTGGGATATCTGGTTCCATCAGTGCCATTTGATGGACTATAAAAATGATGTATTACATTGAATTATCACCATAGGTATTCATTCCATTCAAAGAAAAAAAATAAAAATAAAAAAAATAATAAAAAATAAAAAAATTAAATTTTTTTTTTTTTTTTTTTTTTTTTTTGTGAAAAAAAAAAGACCCGCCGAGGGGGGCTTTGGGGCTTAACAGGCTAATTATGTTATTTGTGGAAAACTTAATTTGACATAATTGGTCCTCCCGATAACACATAATTGTGTGAGAAATTCTTTTTTGCGTTATTTGTATTTAATTTAATTCAATACTTTCCCAAAAATACCTCAACTACCCTTTTTTAATTCACTACCATACATACCATACATCCATACATCACTACATTTAGTCTCTAGTTCCTGCAAATCGTAAATACATTTGATAGCTTTTTATATTTGGATGGTAATCATTCTCTTTTAGTATATCTATGTGTGAAGAAGAAGATACAGAAGCCAGTACATCTCAAAATATGTCACTACTTTCCCAAATTGCATCCCTTCAGGGCTTTTTTGTGGTCATGATAGAGATTAAGGCCATTATTATGTGAACATGAATGAATAATAGTGTATACCGCCACAGGGAGATTTGGTAATGTACGAATATTGTGACGGCTTCTTGCTGTAGAACAGAGGGAACACCCAGCACCGTTGTAAAGATGCATGGTCAAGGGGTTACGTTCATTTCACACGTTGACATGGAGCGCCTGAAGGAACTATTGTCTTGAAAGGTCGGGTGATGGCCTTCTTTGAGAAAAAAATAGTTTTAGTGGGAAGAAGAAATTGTGTTTTTTTTGCTTACGCTGCTCTGACGAGGTGCAAGTTCCCCTGTGTTGGGCCTTTTTTCAATTGCATGACAAAAGTTGGTGAAATACATTCTGTTGACATCTATTATGGCTGTGCAGGGTCACGTCTTTTGTGTTTTTGTAACATAATTGAGCTGTTTTTCTAAATTGGAAAATTAACTGGAAGGACTAATGTGAGCATTAGCAACTACATCATTATCCTTACATCAATCTTTTGAGCTGGGTTGTTTTTGGGGCAATGTAGAAGATTTGGGAAAGCATTAGTGTGTGTTTGACTTGTACATGTGCCCAGTCATTTCTCAATATCTGACTGCTTCCCAATTCAGGTTCTAGATCCGCCAAAAGTCTGCATTTCCAAACTAAATATGTCATAGCAGGCGTACAGAGCCTGGTACAACATTCTTCCTCAAATGATTCCAATGAACCCACACTTCTACATTTGGAGGACATTTCCTGGAGATACACTTTAAAACTATTGAATAATCTAGAACGACTGATCTAATTCATTTCAATCATTTCAATTCTCAACTTGGTTTGGATATCGTTTTGTGTGTGCTTCCTTCTCTGTATGACAAGAGCAGCTTCCCATCAATATTTACCACTCGAATGGACTAACAGAATGCCTTCTGTTGGAGGAGCAGTCTCATTGGCCAGACCCATGTTCTGTTTGGTCTTTAAACTTAAGGAGGTCAACTTTCATCTGCTACTGTCCCCCCCTGCCAGTCTCCCATCATTTATTCATCCAGCACCTGTTTTTATTGTTAAAGAAAGGCTGCTTCTCACGGGAGGTCTTCTGTGAAATGCTTGATGCATTCATATTTAAGTAGTTTCCAGATTTCTCACAATATTTTCATAGAAAACTCAGTGTATTTCAGTTTTAAAATTACAAATGAATAATCAATGGCTCAGTAAACTTTTACAAGACACAAGTCACATCTGGAAGACATATCTCTACAGTAGACATGTATTTAGTCGGCGTATCTCTGCAGAACACTTTATAATTTTGTGTTTCGCGGAAAGTGCACACCGTGTACACCAATTTTTGGTTTGGTTTCAGATGCTCTTCTTGAGGCAAGAACCTTTGTAATAGAATAAGACAGCATTGAAATTAGCCAAATTGATGCCTAATACGAGTGCATCAAAGTTCAATCACAACAGGTTCCATTTCAGGAGAAGCTTAATTTGAAAGTGGTTCTTAGTGCAAACTCCGTAGGCTCTGCTGAACTGTGCTGAACACTTTACCTGTCAAGACTGAGGAAGATGCTGGGGGACTGAGAAGGAGGGATGGAAACAAGGCTAAGCCTTCTGGGAGACAATTTGAATCTCGACAATTAGTCTCTGCTGTCGCTCAGTTTGATCTCACACTGTGAAAAATGTTGTCGGGAGCTCTAATTGTGTAAAGAGCACATTTTTGAATGCTAATTAGAAATCCGCTGCCATAATTTTTCAGGGTTAAATCAAACATTCAGAAGGGAGGATGACGCTATGATGGCGGGTATTTATCACAGGCACATCATTATACATGGTGAGAAATCATTTTTCATGTGGGCAGACTTCCCTCCCTGACTGCATGACAAAAAAGGACGAGGACAAACTGCAAGGGTTGCAAACACTAACAACTGTTAATCATTTTTACTCCCTTGCCTGAGTTGGCCTGATCGCAGCGGGCGCGCTCTCGCCATGCTTGCCTCTCGCGGTGCACATAATGAAAAGAATGGAGCAGTCAGTCATATCGCCTCTCTAAAAAGTATTTTCTGCTTTATTAGTCATACTTAATGGTGTTGAAGGGGCCGTGAGTGATGCAAAATCCCTTTGTTCAAAGCCCCTCTTTTACAGTGAACGGTTCTTGATCGAAAAAAGATTCCCTGACAATTGAGGCTGAATGTGTTTTACACGCTGGGCTTACTTTGCCTATTTTAGAGGGGAATTGTGCGTGCTCTCATCAAAAAGATTGATGGCGCGAGCAAGGAAATAAAAGAGGTGGAGACAGTGTGCGTAGCGCAACAGCAGGCAGGTAGTCGGACCAAAACAGACAATCCCATTCATTTTTAGATGGACAGCTCCTTTGATATTTTATCATAGCGAACAAAAAAAAGCGATGCATCATCAATCCATCTTCCACCTACATGGCTTGAAAGCAAAATGGAATCCAATTATAAATACCCATCAGAGCCTAAAATGAATCCTATATGTTTACAGAGTGTTAGTCACGTACGCCTGTCAGACAGTTTCACGCCTATACTTGTAAGAAATTCCACAAATACTGAGTAATGTGTGTCACACGCAGACTTTTACCCCCAATCTCTATTGATTGATTTCTAGGGACTTCATGAGTGAAGGGAGAGACATTGAAGAGAGAGGGAGAAGAGGTTTGCTTACGCTGGATGTCAATTGTGACGCTGGTCTCCTTGCCATTGGGGACTGCCTTGTTGGAGGCTTTGCAGGTGATCTGCTGACCCGTCTCGATGTTGGAAGGCGAGAGGTAGAGCGTGCTCACGGTGCTTTCTCTTCTGCCGTCCCGCAGCAAGGTCTGCAAAGAGGAAGGCAAAGTTGAAGAAGAAGTACATGTTTTAGGCCTCTAGATCTATACCACATGGTTGTTTGGTCTAATGGATTAAAGTGCAAAAAACTTAGATTTTCTCATATAAAATAATCTCTAATTGTTTTGATTTTGTGCAGTAAGCTTCAAATGCTGTGAACTCTGAAATTAGAGTCAAACACTATTGAATAATATGTTCAACAGTCTAAATGATATTCAAAGAGCGAACAGAGATGGAATAAACAGTTCACCAGATAAGCGTTGATGAGAAGGTGTAAACCTGGGGAACAAAACCTGAACAAAACAGCAGAACATTCATGAATACACACATCTCGTCCCTTGGGGGACCACAGGCAAACCCTCAAAACACTGTAGCCCGTAGTTTTACTGCAAAGCTGATTGATATGAAAAAAAATAAAAGTACAAATATGTTTTTTGAGCCTCTTTGTGTGTCTGGAGAGCTGCGCTCTAGTGCACGGCTTGTCATACTCCACAAAGGAAATCAATCTTCTTTTCAGCGCTCATCCTCTGAGCCCTACATTGTGGAAGCCATCTGGAATCGGTTGGTAGCGCTCAGTAGCTCGCTCTCCCCAAAACGCTCTGGAGAGGGCTCTGGGAGTCTATGTTAACCAGTGCAGGGCAGAACAAAGTCACCGACTAGAACAAATTGCGTGGGCAACAGGGCACAGTGTGGTCAACCACAAAGTCAAGATGCATTTCCCTGCCATCTATTTAAAGAGGCTCACTGTGGCTTAGTGTTTCTTTGTAAAAACACAAGGCCCTGCCACAGTAAAGTACAGCCATGTTCCTGATGTAGAACTGTTGAGTGAAGAAAGCTCACATTGGACTTGTTACCTTTGGATAAGCCTTAAAGATGTAATAATACATCAATAAGGTGATTACATCTCAGCATCTATGCAACATTTTAGTCTGAAACTTGATTCTTGACCTTATCTACAAAGGTTTATATATAAGTTCTAGAAAGGCACAAAAGGCAGGATGAAATGTCATGACTACATAAGGTACATTACTGTATTATAAAGCGTAATCGCAAAGTGCAAGAGAGCATAATGCTATATATCAACCACCATTTTCACTACCCGTTAATCATTGGCTGAGTCTAACTCTAGTTTGTTGTCATTGCACAAATCAGTGGTAATTATCTTATCATTTCTATGCAATGCTTTTTTTTTTTAAACCCCTGTAATCTAAGAACGTCTCCCTCTCCTAAACATACCCTAATCTCAATAATATAATTAGTATGTCATTGAACTTGTAATTAAGCTGTCAAGATTTTTCCATATGAACCTTTTATCTAACTTTAAGTACCTAAAGCTACCTCAGAAGAAAGTCTGAGCCTTTTTATGCATATTAATAAGCATTTTATAAGGATAGTGATATTATAGATGCCATTCATGTTCCTGTGGAGTCCATTTGTATGTGAAGAACCATGTGATGAATTTCATATTTGTGCGTGAGTCACTTCTAAAGCAGAGCACATTAGCTGTCAGACGTGGGATATGTCAATGTAATATCCTTTCTGACACAATCAAGATTGTTTCCCTCGTCGCCTCGGACCTGTCTGAAGTCATTAATCTTAAAAAGGGGGTTAGCCGGTTGCTGCATTGAATTCAACACCATGACTACATTACAATTTGATACATTTTCATATCCGTGCCTGGAGAATATACTAGGCTGGAAGGGGTTGGCATGGGTAACAAGATGGAGATGGAAAGGGTTGCTTTTTTGCCACGTAAATTTAAATCTTTATCAGGTGATTTCTGAACGCTAAAGGGCAAATGAGACCAAGAAACACAGAGCAATAAGCTAAACTATTGCTTGTCAAGTTGATTTATGCAAACATTAGCAGCAGCAACAGGGACATCCCACTGGGGCTCTCTATTCGACACACTTTTAAATTCAGGTCTAAATTTGCTAGCTTTTAGTCTTGGTTATGGCACTGCCTCTTAACATCATCATTCTGACATCCAACACTGTGTTTTATTTTGAGAAGGATTGTCAGTTAGCAAACTACAACGACTTAACAATAGCTAACTAGCTTAATGGTGCAACCTTCAAGCTTACCGTTAAATAAGCAAGAAGGTGACCTGTCATTAGAAGACCAGACAGTGGCTTCAAAAAGCCTATCAATCTGGATAATACTAATTAATATAACCGGCTGAGCCCAATGGATTATCTACTAAACAAAAGTTGATGTGCTGCCAGCAGTGCTAATTCACTCTTAGGCCTAAACCGCTACTTTGTTTACTCTCATGCTCTATACTACTTAGTGATCTATTTTAACAGTGCTGGTAATTCATGAATGAAAGGTTAAAATGACAATCATGTAAGCAAGTGGATTTAATGAAAAACATTGGATTTTATTTAGATTTTATCAGTATTTTGATAATTATATGTGCTTATTTTATCGGTATTTTGATAATTATATGTGCTTATTTTTACCAAAACAGCTTATCTCATTTTGGGAATAGCCTAACAGCCAAACTCATCTATAGAAAAATCTATAGATAATCAGAAACGTGAGTCATTAAACGTCTTTAGTGTTTTACTGATAAACACATTATGTTTGGGGCAACCACTAATGTTGTTTTTATAGCTGAAAAGTCAATCAATAAGCAACCATTTGCAAGACTAATGGTAAACAGTAAAACAAACGTTAGTTGATACTATGAAATAAAATCACATACACAAATAATTACAAATGAAATACAAAAAAATACTAATTTACTATAGATAGTAAGTAGTTTATAAGATATTATCAGATTAGGCCATCTTTAATAAAATACTAAATGTGGCTGTAAGGTCATACTAACAGTCCAATAAATGATTGAAAGGAAAATAAAAGTCCTACCGAATGCATTTGATATATGCAGAGATCCCTCAGGGACGTTGCTGAATTCACAAAGTAAGCAAAAGCTAATAATTTATACATCATTAATATTCTGCTTACCCATTCAACACGCCTTTGATTTGACACCAAATGCATCTCTGGGTTTCAATCAGCCATTTGAAATTTTGGACCACACAAGGGCTATTTGACTAAATATTCAACCATTTATTTTGACGGTGTTTGCAGAAATGAAAATATGCCTTTTTTAATGTGGTCATTTAGGTAAAAATTGTTTCTTTTTTGAACTCACTACTCACCATTCAGTCATGTATATTTTGGATCACACTTTTAATTTAATCTATATGAATAAGGTTAATTAGCTTTCCAAAAACAGAAGATCTTCTTACATCAGCACAATGAGTTCTCATACTGTAATGTTGAAGGTAAGAGCCCATTGACTTAATATTCTCCTCTAGTGCTTGGGAAACTTTACCTGTCTCATAATGAATAACAGTTAACAGGTTTAATGCCCACTCAGATTTTAATAGGTTACTTTATTTGTAAGTATTCTTCCACCTTATTACTCAATGGGTGTAACAATTAAAATGCAATAAAGTGCTCCAATTACACAAAAAAGCTCATGGAGGATAGGAGAAGAATAATGACACTGGGAAGCAGACAAAACAGCTGCTTTAAATAGTTGTAGGTTAGAGAGTTCGATCATAGAAATTAAATGGAAATAGAATACAACAATTCTGCTGAAAATATTACACACAAACAGTGGCTGCTTCATGTACATCTTGGTCATTTTACCTGCTATCAAACAGCAACATGATTTGACTTTAAAGCAGAGAAAGTAAAAAAAAAAAGAAGCTATTTTCTTGCCAGGAAGAAAAGCTAAGAACACGCTTAACAATGTTTTAAACCTCCTAACACTGAGATAACACCCCAGTCTCCTGCTCACCTCTCAGCTTGCCACCAGAGCATTCATAACATGTAGAAAATGTAGCACATCGGGGAGGGGAATGCATCAGGTTTTTCATATGATTTGCTGCACCATTCCTGTGTAAATAATATCATAGAGCTCCTCTGCACACTTTCAAATCACAGCCCAGACCTGGAGGCAGTTCTTTGCTTTTTGCCACTGAGTAGCTCCACTGGAGCAGATGGGACATGAGAGAACATTATTCATTAATTTCCTCTGCCCACATATTCACCGCTAGTCTTTATATTTGAACCATTCACCTAAGAGCTTCTGCCACTTAATTATTTGGGGAGTCATAATATACCGTACAAAAGTTTAGTTAAGCTACCTTCGCTAACGATACACATGAATTCAGTTACTCTTATATGGTCAAAACCAACTCACAATTATGTTAAGCGATAGCTTTAATCATACACTTTCTCCATAACCACTGGTCCAGTAAATGGCTTTCTAAGAGGTCATAGAGATGAGCTTTTGGAGGCCTTAGTGGGAAATTATCTTTGGGTCAGAACTATCATTAGACATGACACCATCAGGAAAGCCATTTCTGTGAGTCGTCCACCACATCTGCTCACATTAGTCCTCTTGATCTGCGGGATATGAAAAGACCATTAGAGCAGATGATTATGCTTACAAAATGTCCCCCAACTGCTCAGGACCCCAAAAAAGACTCATCTTCTTTTAATCGAACCCATTGCTTGTTAATGGTGGGCAATAGAGATAAGAGAGAAGAGGGACACACTTGGGCTCAGAGCAGATATGTGAGCATCCATCAGCACAGAATTTCCTCATATCTGCACTCGCTCTGAGAGGAAGTGAAGGCAGGAAACGCACCCCCCGCCCACTATTAGCAAGCGCCACCTCAAGCAATCACTTTATTCAAATCGTCCTGGTGCCGTACCCCAGTCCAATCAATGGCATTTATCTGCTCTTTGAAAAAATCCGATAATGGGATGAGGCAGTACAGGGAGCGAGGGAAGGCGGGGGAGGTGTTAGTGCTCTAAAGTGCCTGGTCTCTTTATGTGGTTTGTTTAAATGAAAATAGAACATGACAGTGTTGATTGCACGATTAGCCTAAAGGGTGAGTGTCAGTCAAAAGTCTATGGGGTCAGGTGATCATGCCACCAGGATGGTGTGCACAGTATCGTGCGCTTAGGCATCAGACGTGGGAACACGGTCTGTCAGTGAGAATCATACTGCGCCGCAAAGAAAGGTTCAGGCAGATTCCAGCACGGAAAGTGACATAGTACATTTTGTAACAGGTTGAGAAGATGAAGAGAGACAAATGCCACTGAAGGAGATCAAAACACAGAGAAAAGTCAGTGATAGTTCCCCGATCTCGCCATCTGCTTGTCTGAGGTGATTTGTATGCTGGGAAAAAAGGGCCAGCAATCTTTTAAGGAATCAAAACACAACCTGGATTTTCAAGGGATTTCACTTCAAAAAGCAGTCTGGATGCTGAGGTAAACGCCCACCAAAGACTCAGACACTCGCTCTCAAACATCTCATGGGTGTTTAGAAGTTCTGCAGTTATTTTCGGGAAAGCAAGACATGCAAACATGTAAAGGAACAGGTGTTGTCATTCCCTATCTCTGATTAGCTTTTAGAAAAAACGGTCCAGAGAATGAAAGTAAATCCACCATGCAACCCTCTTCCTTAATTCCACCCACACCCTTGTCCCCAGACGGCTTTCAATGACACACCTCCATGCTTACCTTGGAGTTCATGGCCCCATTAAGGACCTGTCCGTTGCGGATCCAGGCGATGGAGGCTGCCGGCTTGGCGTTGTCGGCATGGCAGGTCAGATTGAGGGGATCTCCAGCTCTTAAGCTCACCACCGGCCCTCCACTGATGACCGGGTCCTCTGGGGGAACTGTTAATACAAAGAAAGAGAGGGCATTAGCCACATGATAACCATATAATAATGATTGGTTTCCATATGATTTAGAAACCAATAAGGATTGTGTAATTCATATTGAATCTGGACTATAAGTAAGTATCTGGAATTGTAATTGAGTTATAATTCAATATGTGTTCTCTTGTTGAGTACAATGATGGCAAACTGGCATGTAATTACTTGTGGCTTTTTCATGCAATTATAAACATTGCGTTTCCATGTAATTGTGCTACTAGAAGTTTGATCCACATAAAACAAAATATTTAACAAATGGCACTGTGAAGATTTGACTGCATGTCTTCATCAATCTCCTCACACAGTCGATTCCCATATAATGAGAGTACTTATGATGCTAACTAGAAACCCGATTTTGGTTTGTTGTATACAAATGACTTTTCTTAAGGAAATAAAAAAAACATGGTTATACATTCTGTGAAGGTAATGACTTCACAGTAAGAAACAGATTTAGCCTGTGCTTAATCGTAAACCAGCATTGGTGCGATATAAAAGCTTTACACAAGTCACAGCAGGACTGTCTAAATACCAATCAACTCTCCCATCAGTCAAATAAGAAGACATTTTGCCACAATACACACAGGAATGCCTGAATTAAATGTGACTCAGTCTATGTATAACCCCCCTCAGATGCACAGATGTAAATTTGCTTGCCAATTTCTCCCCTTCTCAGCTTTGACAAACACAACAGAGAGAAGAAAGGATCACAACAGTGCAATATGAGCCTCTCAATGGTACTGATCAAAGTCCTCTCCCTGTCTTACCCATGAGCTGATCTTGTTTCTTCTTCTTTTTCTATAACTGAAACTGCAGTGAATTATTGATTGACCTGAGTGCTCATTACAATGCAGATCTGGGGCAAGATGAAATCAAAGGCTGCAGGCAGCTGCCATATTCCCCTTGCAAAAAGCATCATGATTGGAAAGAAGGTTATTATGGGTTGGATCCATGCTGTCAAGCAGCACTGAGATGAACGAGAACAGAGAGAAAGGTAATTGGTAAACAGTTTTATACATTTAAAGACAATAAGTATAAAAGAGCAATCTTATGGCAGACATAAAAGAAAGCGTAGAGCTGGAAAAAACTGTGCATACAGTATTCTACATTGGTCCATCTTCATTTACATATTGTTGTCACTTGACATAACTCATTGTCAATTTGTATTTGCCGTGAATTTGTTTGAGAAAACATTAAGCACCTCAAGTTTTATATCAGAAACAGAAAACTGAATTCACTTTAAGGACATTATCATATAGTTATAGTTATATAGTTCAACTTTAAGACCATTGATCAAAATAATTTGTCATGTCATGCAGAACAAATGGAAAAGCACACTGAGATTGGTCTCCGTTAGAAACATTACACTCCAGCTTTTAGTCACAGACAAGCCCATTTTAGTATTTTAGTGCGTTGGTAATTAGTGCACTGGGGTGACATTTTGGTCTTTCGCACGTATGACTAATCCTTTTGCCTTACAAAAATTGTACATAAAAATACAAGAAAATTATTTGTTTGTCCAATTTATCAGACTTAACCAACAGTGCCACATATTTACAATGAGTAAGGACTGGATCAGACATCTGTGGGCGCAATGACGTCTGGAATCTGACTAGAACAGACTAATAACTCTGACCTGGACCAGTGGCTCTGCAATATTAAAGAACATTCCCAAAGAAGACACTATGGCACAAAAGTGTTTTAAATGCAGTGTTAATTCTGGCAGGCTCCCTTTCATCTGGCGGTCATTATTATGCGTAGGGCTGGGAGAGGTAGAGGAATCTCAGGTCAGCACTAACCCATCAGACAACAGAGTGCTGATGTGGGCAATGAGAAAGACTCTTTGTGAGAATGTGGTCACCTTCTGGTCCTCTATCAGCAATTGGAAACAAGGTCAAGGAGAACACATTAGTTTATTCCTATGCTCAGTTTAGAAACTACCGCATGGTATGCAAATGAGACAGGGGGCATGTAAAAAGCAATGTGAGCCGGGAATCTCAAACAGCTCTCGCATTTGTCAATAAAGGGAATGAACTAAATGGGAAGCTCAATGAAAGCACTGAGACAGTTGATTGCAGAGATCCAGCGTTATTGGCTTGCTGTCAGTGCTCTCTTGCACACAAGACTGAAACATTAATTAAATGCCACGCACATAAGGCAGCCACAACATTTTTTTTTTGTATGGAGAGAGGGAGATAAGAAAGGAAAGTATGTGACTGATAGGACAAAGACTTGACGTGATCTTATTGCTTACAAGGCTCAGAACTCTCAGAGAACGAGAAAGCTGAGGCCTCTTTGTCATCTTTTAAGGGATATATTCCTCTTCCTCCTATACACATATTAGTACATAGGTGTCTGTAAACAGGCGTGACAGGGTCAGAAGTTGACACCTCTAATGAACGTGGATGAAAGGTTGCATCGTTGCACACTGTTTGCAGTAAGTCACCATCTGACCTTTAGAGTCTCGGTTGTCTACTATTATTCACCGATATGTTTCTCTACTGAGAGATGTCAGAGCAAGAAGAGTTTATGATATTGTGCATAGTGGAGCTTCATGGCAGGGAGGTCAAAGGCAGACCAAACAGAGCACTGCTACATGTCCAGGTCATGTCCCTATGGAAGGCCACCTGCCAGCAACACGCTGAGATTGAATGGTGAACAGACAGGACATAAAATGGATATGCCTTGCTACCTCCATCCTGCAACCTTTGTATCTCGCCGTCCACTATTGTGTTAGAGGTCTTACTGTATGTGCAGGGTGACAATGTGGATACAGTTTGTGACAGCCTTGACTGAAATCGTTTTTTTTGTGAAAGTAGCACATGCGCAAGGCTCTCAGCGTGTGCTCCATTGGCATCTTTTTGAAATTACAACCATTAAAGAGCACTGAAAAAAAGGCTCACAAGAAAGCAAGTTGGTTGTACTTAAAGGTGGGGTAGGTAATTTTGGAGAAACCAGCTCGAGTGCGCTAGAATTTGAAAATACACAGCCGGAAAAAATCTGCCACTTCCTTACAGAGCCCCTCCTCCAACACACACGAACGCGCACATGACCAATGAGGGCACGAGATAAGTTGGTGCACAGATGGAAGGCTGACAGGCAGGTAGGCCATCCAGTTATTTTAGCCGGGCCGGCTAAAATGATTGGTCGTGCTTTTTACAGTATTACGGCTTCCACAGATGAAATTTTGTTATGGATTTTTTGTCAAAGCACTTAAGATATTCATTGCTATCGGGATGTTAAGAGCATTCCATGGAATATAACAACAAGTGTATCTCGAGCCGGTTTCTCAAACTTACCTACCCTACCTTTAATAGAACAATATTTGAGTAAAATAGGACACCTTTATCCTCTGGGTATTGGCAGGTGAACGCCTTTATGTCTGCTGAGGGGATAGGAGGATTTGACCAATAACCCAACGTTTATTCAATAGGAATGAATAGGAAAAACTCTGTTAAATTGATATTTGAGTCTTTCTCTTTATCTGAGATCTTCCTCTGATCCTGCCTTATGACTGCCAGGTCTGACAGTTAATACAGAGGCCAAGCCTTGAACTTGAATCAGCCATCATCATTACTGGGCTGTTTGCAAACTCGGCAGTCCCTAATGGTTCTAAATTAGCTCTTTACTGCAGCCATTCGATGGACTTGGCATAAGTAGTGTGGTCAGTGGTACAGATTGATCGCTCCTCTTTAATTACAGGCTGACTCACTGTTCCTCTCACTGCTTTCTTCTTGGGGATAATAATGTAATCTCTTTCAACACTTTCACAAATTTGCATTCTCCTGCGCGGGCAAAGACACCGTCGGCATGCAAACGCACAGACACAGACATTTTTCAGTTATTACAGGTTTGATTCAGAGATAACTGATAGCAGTCACAAATGAGTTTTTTCTTGCATGTCTGTATAACTCAAAGATGTTAGATGTGTGGTTTTACTAAAGACTTAAAAAAAGTTAATTACTTTAATCCTTGATAGAGTTTGTTGGGTTTGACCCACAACTTTGGTAGGTTTAAAGCTCCAAGCATTACTTTTTGTTGTTTGAGGGAGAAATCCAATTGGTCTGTTAACCTCATCCCTTTGAGGGGTAATTCAACAATTTAGTTTTAAGGCTACTTACATTTTATGGAGGGCCGTCATCTCCACCAAGATAAAACTTTGTTTATGTATTTGTAGAAATCTACGAATGCTAACCCTATCTGATTTTAAACCCCACCTGGGTCACCTTAGACAAAAAGAGTAAAAAATACACAGTGATGTCAGAAAGCCTCATTGCAGTGAGATCATTTACTTTTACTGCATAATCAAACATATCCATAAATGGGACCAAGGCATATTGATGTGTAATTAACTCAACAGTACAAGGCCGTAAGTCTGTCACCTCCAAGAGGGGCCTGTGTAAACCCTGGGGGTCATAAAGCTGCCTCTTGTGCCTTAATATATATGAATTCTCCAAACACAGAAGATACAACTCCCCAAACACTGAACATAAAACTTGAACTTATGTAAGGGGACGGTGACATAATGCGCTGGAGTTGGCTGAAAAGTCCACTTCAGTCTGGTAAAAAAACAAGTCTTACTGATGGTGGACCTGCTGGGTTTTCCATGCCAAACCAATATTGGGGAAACTTCTAGAAAGCATCAGATGAAATCCTACCTGCATCCTGGCTTTCCAGGAGCACGAGCAAGGGGAGAAAAAGCAATTTGGAGGTGAATGAATGAGATAGGGCTCCTCACAAGGAGGCAGGATGGTGTACGGAAGGGGAGGCTTGCAATGTGTAGCTGCTGTATAGCGCTGTGCTTCAGCAGACGTGTCCTGAACAACAATGAGCTTCCTGACTTGCCTGTCTATTTCAGAAGAATGCCTGCACGGGCCGCCTGTCACCCCATTGCGACAGCTTGGAGAGTTTGTGATAGATAGATCAGGGGGGAAAAAAAGACAAAAAGGAGAGTAGACGAATAC